TTTTGCTAATACAATAATGAGAGCTCCCAAACTAAGTCTGCCCTCAGGAAAAGTGGAGGATTTTTTCTCTATAAAGCCACAAATGCTTTCTATTGAGACAACTGCAGACCAGCCTGTAAAGATGAAGTGTGCTCAGTGACTGTTCTTAAGCTGAAAACATGTTTATTGCTCATGTGATAACCTTCTGCATCCTCATCCCTTTGGCTTTCCCAAGGTTGTACCAAGCAAACATGCTCTCCAAACACTGACACTTCACTGTAATCTTCATCCATCTTCATCCTCTTGTTCCTCACATGGTTGGGGTATTTTTAATTACTACAATTATTTTGTGTCTCCTCTTTAGTCAAGCATCTCCTTTATTCACAGGAACTGCTGAACAATGGTACATCACCTTTACATCACATCCGGAATTATGGCTCCTGAAGTCTACCTTACACTAAGCTCAAGTTTGCTAAAGCTGTCTTGGAAATCTACCTTGTCTCCAAATCTTTGCAATATGGACAAACTCCAATTCCATGCTCTAAGATTAAATCAGGCCACTTTTCTCCTGAAGAGAAAGGGCAAAGAGTAGACTTAGTAAAGTCTAGGGAAGCGATAGAATCAAACAATGGTTTGGGTTGGAAGGGACCTTAAAGATCACCTAGTTCCAACCCCCCCCTGCAAAGCAAACCAGTAACATGCATAGCCTGTAAAGCCAAGAGCTCTTTTGTGAGGTTGCCACCAATGAAATTACAAACTGGGATTTGTGACTTTAGTCTTCATGTTGAACTTGTAGTGGTACCTGCTTGAAGAGTTCTTGCTCAGAGAATGCTTGAGATATGAAAGAGTGCAACAGAGTGAAAGCTCAAACTTCTTACCTTCAACTTGGGGTAGTCGATAGCCCAGAAGCGAAGAAAACAGTGCTTCAAATGACCAGAAGATTCCACTACCCCAACAAAATCATTCTAGCATATGAACTGCTGGATGTCTGCTTAAGACCTTCTTTTGCCATACATTTAATCCAATACTAAATTTATTGCTATCTTCCTCAGTTGGTGAGCTTTATAGTCCAATATACATAGGGTGTTTCTGAAAAGTCCAGAGTACTAAAGCAACACCTCATCACCTTCTGGCCCATGCTCACCAAATTCGCCTTACTATCCTCCGAACTACATCTTAAAACAGTATTTGACAGAATTCCCTGCTTTCATTTTCAAATCCCAACTGAGAGGTAGGGATAGGAAACAGAGCAGGATGCTGGGAAAAGGTCAGAGGAACGTAGCATTACTGAAGTTGCCCATATGTCCCCTTCCAAAAGGATCCTCCCTAGCCCATGCTGTTAAGACCAGAGATGTTAGAACGATCACTAGGTTTATGTTTGTTAGTTCATAAACAGACTGTCCACTTTTAAAATTCATTCTATGATTCTATACAGGTTGGGTTCATTTCCAGGCATCAGAGTTGTAGCAGTTGTAGTCCTTGCGAGTGGACGTTACAACCCACTTGTGTTCTCCCACTTCCTTCCATTTACTTTGTGAAGGTTCACTATAGAGAAGTATAAAGTCAGCACCATGAAAACCCAAAATGGTTTAAAATTACTCCTTCTTTAGGCCACTGATTCCAGTCTTCCTCCTCTACACGTTCTAGGCTATTCACCAAAAAACGCAACCAACAAAACTGTTGCTATCCTCAAGACATCTTTCACAGAATCAAAGAATGGTTTGGGTTGGAAAGGACCTTAGGATCATCCAGTTCCAACTTCAGGGAGTTCCTTCACAATTCAATGCTTAAAACCAAAAATCTGCTTCATGGAGACCTGGAAAATTAAGGAGAAAAAGTGAACCCTACACATCCTGCTCCTTTGTTTTACTGCAAAATCAGGTCTGATAACTTTGCTCACTGTACTTATCAATTCACAGTCCTTTTCAGCCTTCTCAGACAGGGAGAAAGAAGAGGGGTGACAGGCAGAGTGAGACAAGGCAATCCAGAATGGGCACCAAAACCTTTCTGACCTTATAAAGCTTCCTCTATCTATGGCGAAAACCTTTACTGATGAGGCAAACACAGCAGAAGGTACCTCAAGGGGAGGATTCCAACCCTTGGATGCTGTTTAAAGGAAGCGCATTCTGTGAGGATTACATCTGTTCTGTGGAAAGGACCCATGAGCAGATCAGTTACCTTCCATATGATCTTAAACCCCCTCTTCATTAATTCAAGGGTAACCTAGAAACAATTAGTCAAATCTAACGGGAGGGATTTAGGAGAATAAAGTTGCTTATGGGTCAGCAAGTCTCTTCAGGGTCTGCTCATATCGGGGCTTTCTCCCTCATCTATTTAGTAACACAAAAGAAAGGGGTGCAGCCAGAGAGGGTCCAATTAGTTTACATGCACTGGCCTTGTCTGGACATGTGTCCCTTGTCCTGCTTCCACTCCTCATGCTAACCACAAAGTTAGAACAAGAGCTTACAAAAAGACTTAGCTGTAAATGTATTTTTATCACAGAATTGCACCTGATTGCTGTATCACTGCATCTCAGAATGTCTGCTTTTCAAAGGTTCCCAGTGTTACACAAAACACAAACACAAAGGGAGCAATTCCTCACACTTCCAAACCATTACATGCAATGGAAAGATGAGCTCACAATAATGCAGTATTCTCCCATCTGTATTTAAAAACACACTCAAGGAACAGTAGTAACTGTATTCCTTAGTGAAGCATAAGCAGAGCATAAAGCCCTGATGTATAAACAAACACTTGCAGGCTTAAGACAAATAGCTCTGGAACATTAAAGTTCCAGTGTTATAGAATGAATCAACCACCAGTGCTGACTCCCTTTAAGCAGACAGAAAACTCGTAATTCATTTTTACATACCATCTTTTTGAAGTTTCGTAACACCGGCACTAAGCTGGTGTTTAGCCAACCATATCCTGGCTTGCATCAAGAGGAGTGTGACCAGCAGGTCGAAGGAGGTGATCCTGCCCCTCTACTCTGCTCTTGTGAGACCTCACTTGGAGTACTGTGTGCAGTTCTGGTGTCTTCAACATAAAAAGGACATGGAGCTGTTGAACAAGTCCACAGGAGGCCACAAGGACGATCAGGGGACTGGAGCACCTCCCATATGAAGACAGGCTGAGAAAGTTGGGGCTGTTCAGCCTGTAGAAGAGAAGGCTGCGTGGAGACCTCAGAGCAGCTTCCAGTGTCTGAAGGGGGGCTATGGGCATGCTGGGGAGGGACTCTTCATTAGGGACTGTAGTGACAGGACAAGAGGTAATGGGTTAAAACTTAAATGGGAAGTTTGGATTGGATCTAAGGAGGAAGTTCTTTACTGTGACAGTACTGAGGCACTGGAATGGGTTGCCCAAGAAGTTGTGAATGCTCCATCCCTGGTGTGCTCAAGGCCAGACTGGACAGAGCCTTGGGTGACATGGCCTAGAGTAAGGCATCCCTACCCATGGCAGGGAGGTGGAACTTGAATGATCTTAAGGTCCTTTCCAACACTATGCTATAATTGTACGATTCTAAGGCTGCTCTATTGCTTCAGCAAAGTCTGTGCCCAACCTAGGAAGCAAAGACTAACGTCTTCAAAAAACAAGGCTCTAGGGAGACCTTAGAGCAGCTTCCACTGCCTGAAGGGACCAACAACAAAGCCGGAAAGGGACATTTACAAGGGCACGTGGTGACAGAACAAGGGGGAATAGCTTTAAACTGCCAGAGGGGAGACTGAGCTGAGCTCTTAGGCAGAAGTCCTTCCCTGTGAGGGTGCTGAGGCGCTGGCACAGGGTGCCCAGAGAAGCTGTGGCTGCCCCATCCCTGGCAGTGCTCAAGGCCAGGCTGGACACAGGGGCTTGGAGCAACCTGCTCTAGTGGAAGGTGTCCCTGCCCGTGGCAGGGGTTGGAAGTGGATGAGCTTTAAGGTCCCTTCCAACCCAGACCAGTCTAAGAGTCTATGGAAATACTGTTAAATAGACCCAAACCTGCCCCCCCCTCCAGTGAGCACAATTAGGATTCAAAACTGTTGTATGAGAAACTCCAACAGTGTTTGAGGACTTGTTTAGGAGAACCTCTATGAAAGCCCAGTGTAGCTCAGCCTTAACCACAGAAAGTCCAATCCCTATTCACTTTCATCATCCTCTCTCCCAGTTTTATACCAAGGAGACACTCACTTCACAAGAACATTTACCTCTATCACTGCTTCATGGAACAGCAATGAACTTTCTAGGAGCAGTTCCTCAGGCAGTCATTTTATGCTGTGTTATGGGGAATCAAAGGTCATCTTCAACTAAAACAAAACCTTTTAATGGGTGCAGCAATCCACCACTTTAAATCGCCTCATTTGTTCCTCCAGTTACACAAGACAGGCTGTCGTCAGCACAGCTCTCTTGAGCCAGCTCTGTTTGCCTACAGAAATGCCTGCAGAGAGATATCAGAGTGGTCAGAAACACAAGAACATGTTGCTTGCATTTGAGAAGCCTTTCAGGAGCTCACCACCAAATAAAGCTCAAGTTAGGTGAGCGAACCAGCTGTGAAACCAGATGAAACTGCACTCAGGATTCCAAAGACAGCAAATAGCCCCGGTCTGCATCTCTGTAATACACAAACGCATGAGCAGACCCATACAACCTCTTCTCCGCAGCTCCAAATTCCACTGATCTTTTAAGCACACTAAACTCTTTCTGTTGACTTGAGGACAATGTCAGGAGGAAATGCAGTGTTTTGATGCAGCTGAAAGCACATTCAAAAAAGCTGTTATAAAAATTAAACTAGGCAAGACCAATACCCACCAACTGATACAGCTGGAAAAGCTAAATCTTGGGGACAGCCATTCCTCAGGTCTAGGGGAAGAGGTGTTAAGTACCTGATGGCTTCAAAAGGTAGAGAAGATAGAATCATAGAATCACAGAATGGTTAGGGTTGGAATGGACCTTAAGATCATCAAGTTCCAACCCCCCTGCCATGGGCAGGGACACCTCACACCAGACCATGCAACCCAAGGCTCTGTCCAACCTGGCGTTGAACACAGCCAGGGATGGAGCATTCACAACCTCCCTGAGCAACCCATTCCAGTGCCTCAGCACCCTCACAGTAAAGAACTTCTTCCTCAGATCCAATCTAAACTTCCCTGTTTCAGTTTGTCGTGGTTTAACCCCACCCAGACAGCTTGTTACCCACTCCCCCCCTTTTCTTGCCCTCCCCCTACTCCTGGAGGGACGGAGAGGAGAATCAGAAAGAATGCAACTCCCATGGGTTGAGATAAGAACAGTCTAGTAACTAAGGTATAACACAAATCACTGCTGCTACCACCAATAATAGTAATGATAAAGGAAATAACAAGGGAAGAGAATACAACACCCCATCACCAGGCGACTGATAACTCACCCCCCCCAGCCCGACCAAGCACCGACCGATACCTCCTCCAACCCTGTAGTCCACCTAGCCCCTTCCGGGTAACTCCCAGTTACATGCAGGGCATGACATGCTGTGGTATGGAATACCCCTTTGGTCAGTTTGGATCAGGTGTCCTGTCTCTGCTTCCTCCCAGCTTCCCCTCCTCCCTGGCAGAGCATGAGGCTCACAAAGTCCTTGGCCAAACCAAAACATCATTTTTATCAGCTTTGTTCCCAGCCCGAAAGTCGAAACACAGCACTGCACCAGCTACCAAGAAGGAGAAAAATGACTGCTACTGCTAAACCCAGGACACAGTTTTAACCCATCACCCCTTGTCCTATCACTACAGTCCCTAATGAAGAGTCCCTCTCCAGCATCCTTGTAGGCCCCCTTCAGGTACTGGAAGGCTGCTATGAGGTGTCCACGCAGCCTTCTCTTCTCCAGGCTGAACAGCCCCAACTTTCTCAGCCTATCTTCATACGGGAGGGGCTCCAGCCCCTGATCATCCTCGTGGCCTCCTCTGGACTTGTTCCAACAGTTCCATGTCCTTTGTATGTTAAGGACGCCAGAACTGCACACAATACTCTAAGCGAGCAGAGTAGAGGGGCACAATCACCTCCTTCAACCTGCTGGTCACGCTCCAGATGTGAAAACAAAGCCTTTTCTGATGGCAGCCAGAATGACCTACATTACAAACAGCACAGAACAAGGTAACAGCATCTGACAGGCCAAGAACTCATTCTCTTGTGTAGTACTGAGCTGCTGAACACCACTTCCAAACGCTCTGTGCTGTTGCCCTCCACAATCCTATTTAATACATTTCAACCAAGACACTAAAGCTGTCAACCAAGAACTAAAGCCATTAAGAAAACAAGAGACTGGGACAAAAATCAGTGCATGCAGAAACAGAGGAAGACTGTAAGCCTTGTCCTGCTGCCATGACACAGAGAACAAAGCACAGCCAACTTAAACTGATAGCAGAGATGCTCAAGCAGCCCTAAATGAAAGCACAGGAATAATCTTTAAACTGCCATCTTAATAGGTTAAGTATCTTTAAGGAATGAATTAAGGCTACTCAATTCTGCTCTGGGTAGAAGGACAGCCTTCCTTTTCCCCCTTAAGTTTGAGGGATGCAGGTCATTAAACCTCATTAGTGTCCTTCAAGTTTATACAGAACTTCCTTTAGGAGTTCTACATAAAAATCTCAGTAATTCCATTACTGATGTTAAAAGAACCTCAATGATCATGACTACCTCTAACATCTCACTGTACCATTTGGCTCCTTCACCTTTATCACAAGGCCTCAAGTTCCAACAAAACCTCTTACTACTCCTCTTGGAGGACACGTAGTAGACCAGGGAACAGTCAGCAGCAACTTCAGTGCTAATCAATGATGTGTTCGTGGGACTAAAAGCCCTGGTTGCAGTCTGTTATCATTAGCAGCTCAGCTGCTCTTTGAGCCCATGGATGTTTGCTCCACTAAGACGTTGAACCATTTTGCTGGAGGTGCCTGTAAAGTGCCTGCAGGATAAGCAGAAAACCATCCCCAGTGATGTGTGCTTACACCCTGGCCCAGCCTTCATAGATTGAGGTAAAAAGCAGGTAAATGAGAAGCACAACATCCATTCTACTACTGCTGGAAATAGAGTTCCGGTATTTCTCTACATTAAACCCCTCAGAGAAAGAGCTGCTGTGAAGAAACTTAACGTAAAGCCTAAACATTCAAACCATGTGAAACCATGCCAGCAGATCACCCGAATGGAGACTAACAGAGAGTTTAGTTTTAAACGTCTTTTTAAAGGGACAGAGTAACAGAACCACAGTTTTGGGGTGGAAAGGACCTTAAGACCATCCAGCTCCAACCCCCAACTACTGAATGAAGACAGAATCTGGAAAACGCTTCTGTGCCAGCATTGAACAGCTCCTCAAGAGTTTCTTCAGTTTCACATCATCTCCAGGGTAATCCCAACCCACCAACAGAGGCACAGGCATTTCACAACCCACTCCTGTTACCTGGACCCCTCATCAGAATAAATACCTGAGGAAGCACGTGCTTGCTACAAGAACAGATTGGTAGTGGTGGTTTTTCTGTTTGACCCTTCCCCATGAAAACCTGAGGAGCCCCAGCTCTATACCTGACAAAACACATTCTGCAGTGTTTCATAGTAAAACCAGAAACATCACAGCTATGAGAACCTGTTTGGATAGTATCTTAAATATGTTCTTAACCTTCTGAAGAGCACAAGCCCAGGCTGGGCAGAGACTGGATTGAGAGCAGCCCTCAGGAGAAGGACTTGGGGGTGTTGGTCGATGAGAAGCTCCCCATGACCCGGCTTCAGTGTGCGCTTGAGCCCAGAACCCCCCCGTGTGCTGGGCTGCACCCCCAGAGCGTGAGCAGCAGCTCAGGGAGGGGATCCTGCCCCTCTGCTGTGCTCTGGGGAGACCCCCCCTGCAGTCCTGATCCAGCTCTGGGGCAGCAGCACAAGAGGGACCTGGAGCTGTTGGAGCGAGTGCAGAGGAGGCCATGGAGATGCTGCGAGGGCTGGAGCAGCTCTGCTCTGGAGCCAGGCTGAGAGAGCTGGGCTGGGTCAGCCTGGAGAAGAGAAGGCTCCTGAAGGGGAGACCTTAGAGCAGCTCCAGTGCCTAAAGGGGCTGCAGGAAACCTGGAGAGGGGCTTGGGACAAGGGCCTGTAGGGACAGGCCAAGGGGAATGGCTTCAACCTGCCCAAGGGGAGACTGAGATGAGCTCTTAGGCAGAGAAGGTGTCCCTGACCATGGCAGGGGTTGGAACTGGATGAGCTTAAAGGTCCCTTCCAACCCAAAGCATTCTGCAGGTTATGAAATCAGAAAAGGAAGGAGGGGAGATGTCACTTGTACAATATCTACAATTTTTCCAATTTTCTGCTGAGCAAAGAAACCATGAGATAAAAAAGTTACTCTCCAGCTACATGAGCTGAGCACTGGAACATTAAGAGCTGTCAAGGATGCAAAAACAAACTAGAGGGAAGCTCACAGAGTCCTCTATTCATGGTCATTTTCCTTACAACAAAGTAGTTGATACAAGTCCAGCCAGGCAATGTTTTTCTTCTTGCTTCACTGCAGCCCGTGCTGTTCTGCTTCAAACAAGCTCCTGTGTATTTGGGAGCAGCTCCCGCGCTGCTCCCAACCCAGGTCTCACACAACAAAACCACACTCGAACAGCTTAGATTTTACATAAACCAACTCTGCAAGACCAAGCTTGATTTGCAGAGCCTTGCTTTCAGTAACGCTGTCATCCCCACCCTTCCTTTACTTCACACTTGCTGCTACGATACCCTTGGGTCCTAACACACTGATGCAACAGGAAGCATCTCCAATGCACTCACCCAAGAAAGCCTGAGGTCTCGTGCGCATGTACCATTATTATTCATTTCTTCAGTTTTTACAAACTTCATGTTTTCCTTAACTAATTCTCCACCAGAACAAGACACTGAGTGCCTGCCACAGACGGCTCCGTGTGTTCTAAGGAAGCAACAGAATCACTCATTCGTAACATCCTCGTGCCTTTATTACAGCTCCCTGTCTTCCATCTTCAACACCAGCAAACATTTACAAACTACCAAAGCCTACACTACAGCAAAAATCGTGCTCTAAGTTCCTAATCTCTTAGCAAATACCCTTAAAAAGTGCTTTGAAAATTTCCAACCACACAGTGTCCATGATAAATGACCAGGAGCACACTTGAGTACAGCTAACCTTAGAATGGTTTGGGTTGGAAGGGACCCCAAAGCTCATCCAGTTCCAACCCCTGCTGCCGCGGGCAGGGACTGCTTCCACTAGAGCAGCTTGCTCCAAGCCCCTGTGTCCAACCTTGCCTTGAACACTGCCAGGGATGGGGCAGCCACAGCTTCTCTGGGCACCCTGTGCCAGCGCCTCAGCACCCTCACAGGGAAGAACTTCTGCCTTATCTCCATCCTAAATCTCCTTTGTTTAAGTTTTAACCCATCACTCCTTGTCTTGAAACATAAAAGCAACTCTCTCCAGCTGATGCTTAACTACAGCTCTGGAAATGAGTTCCCTGCACACACCAAGTACAAAGCAGACCACAGTCTATCTGCTCTGCTGCTACCAGGATGTCTTGCTCCAGCAGGATTTGTTGCTGGACAGGAACACTCAGTAAGGTCTTCACAAAGGTACCCATTGAAATGAGAGCACCAGCTCCACTTCGCCACTTTAGCAAGCCAACAGCAACCTCCACTTGTGACATGAGCATTCCTTATGCTGCTGTCCCCCAAGGCCAAAGAATTAAGTGATCAAGGCCGGGCTGGACAGGGCCTGGAGCAACCTGCCCTGGTGGAAGGTGTCCCTGCAAGTGGCAGGGGGTTGGAGCTGGGTGAGATTTAAGGTCCCTTCCAACCCAAACCATTCTGTGGTTCTATGAATTAGGATTTCTTCTGCAGAAATCTGCTAAATGTCACATTTCTTGGTAGAGTTCAGCTCTAGATCTAGCACACTGCTTGAATAACCTTTATCAATGGCCCTTCAGCTTGCTCTGCACTACCATCACCAGCCAGTTTGTCATCAAGAACACAGGTCTGGGTGAACAGCATGGAATGAACTCTATTCACGTCACTTACAGACTGCTTCAGTTAGTTGTATCTGAGCTGCCAGTGCAGTCCTAGACACCCGTTTTGTTTCAAACAGAATGAAAGAGAATATTTAATGGCACACAAATCACAAATGAGCATTTTCAGTCTGTATTC